TTATGTCCACTCATATATATGGTCTATGTGTCCCAACTGTAATAAAGGGCTTTTATTTTGTAATCCTCAGACATTTCATTAAAGCCCTGTTTGATGTAAGAAAATGTGTTATGACTGAAAAGAGGCTGATGTTGGTATTTTAATGATTTGCACTACAATACATTGGTTTATAAATGAATTCATATCAGATCATTAATTATCTATAACAATACATAAACAGTACTAAACATGACTTCGTTGTTCATGCTTAATTGTTAGTAATCTGCTTTTACTTATATTGTTTTTAACCCTTTAACAAAAGTAAAAAATATCAATGACTTACACTTGGAATATGACGTTTTAAGAAACTAGATTACAGTTCAAGTCCTGGTCTTTGAAAACACATTTGAATAACCTTAGACTTGAAATTGCTGTATGTCTTATTTCATACACCTAACCCATCTTTTACTTTCCTTCCATTGGACCCGTGTGAATAAACTCCCCCAAATACAGCCATCACAGCAAGCCGATCTTCAAAGCTACCAACCAAATAACCCGGCGGCCATCTCTCTCTCCTTTAAAATATCATTCTTTTCTTTATTTGGTATTGGCCGTGTGCTCCTACTTTGCAATTCAACAGCAGAAGGCAGAGTGGTGTTGCATGACTGGCCAGGGCTCATTTCTCATTTGAAAAAGCCCAGTGCAAAGATGCTAGGGTACCATGTTTCTCATCTCATGGTAAAGTGGTGGAGAGTATACGCTGGTTGCTTGGTTCACACTTGTGGTTAATGTTCTAGAAAAATACACACAAATGATCGCCGCTTTTTCCAACGTCGGAGTCGCCAGTGAAAGAGACTGCTGACTGCAACATAAACAGGTGAAGTAGAAGCAGCTATTAGAAATGATAAATTCTAGTCTTTAAGATTTCAGTGGTCATAATAGTGCTAAAAATGTACTGACATGAATTTATACAGGGTTTTTTCAAGACAGTTAAGTGCTTCCTGTTGCATTATTCATTCACATCATACTTGGCTTTTGTAACCGCAAGTGCCTTAGGGTGACTGATCTAAAAGTGGCTGCTGATTTGAGCCAATGGCTTATCTAACCATACTGAATTGACAGTTTGCAGCTGATGTCATCAACATTCTCTGGGCGTGTGATGCTAACTGTAAGCACTGCTCTCTCTGAACAAGCCCCTGGGTTTGAAAATGGCTGCTCTTTCGAGTCAATGGGCCGAGCTCAATGGCGCATGACTCCAGATTAGCCTTTAGCCCGGCGAGGTACTTCCGGTAGCTGTGGGCCGATTGAACATGCACAGTAATTCTCTTTTCTCTCGCGGGCACACATGAACGCACGCGACTGCACACACGGAGCACAGGCTTGTGTATCACGTGATCGCTTTGACCAGGGGTGTCCAAACTTTTTTCATCAAGGGCCACATATCTAAACACAAACGAAGCAGAGGGTCCATCGAGGGCTGTAGACTGTTGCTCATTACAGTGAATAATTAAAATATGTGCATGTTTAACACGTTAGAATGAGCCATCAGTCCTTTATTCACGCTAAGATCCTTAAAGCCACACACTCAATATTAAATATTAGCTTTATCAAGGTAGATTTTCAAAAAACTTGCACTAAAAAGTAAATTTTTCATTGATGCATGGTACTTTGGGCCAGTTCTCCTGGAAGCTTGAGGGCCAAGAAACATTTGTCTGAGGGTCGCATTTGGCCCACGGGCCATAGTTTGGACATGCCTGGCTTTGACCAATCAGAGCGAGAGGAGCTAGAGCGGAGCAGAGCAGAGCTGGAGCAAACGATTAAAAGTGTTTAAGACAACTGAAGATTTTGAGCTGAGAAAAAGTTTATGATATAAAAATAGCTAAAAATCGCCACAATATCCAACAATATTTTTGAAAGTTGTTGGTGTCCTGTAAGCCGAACACAAGACGTTTTTGATTACATTGTGCTCTAAAATACTTTCTCGGCCCATGGGATTTTTTGGCTGTTGTACCAGTGAGTGGCCACTATGTCAACTAGAGGCAGCTACAAGCAGCAACACCCTATCCAGTTATTTTAATACATCCATGTCTCTTAAGCGCTGTTAGTCAAATCAGACTTTAATCTGAGCTTTAATTTAACGCTGTCTGCCTGGTGATGCCTGCTTGTCTCCTTTGAGATGCGTTTAATGCCATACTGTAGAACATTCTAACATTCTAGGCAATTGATAGTTTGCAGCTGATGTCATCTACATTCTTTGGGGGAGATGTGAACTGGAGGCTCTACTCTGTTTGAAGCACTGTTACTCAAGTTAGACTTTAATCTGAGCTTTGTTTTAACAAAATCAAACTGTGGCTTAGTTGGAGCTGCAACAGGTGAGCTGATTTGTTCCTCTCAAATAAAATTACAGACACATGCTCACTCACATTAACCAACAGTTTTTACTCTCACTCTTTTTGCTGAAAATCAAGGCTATTAAACATTTTTGGCAGTGTCTGCTAATGCGTGCACTGTGTCGCCATGGTAACAGCTGAACAATCCGCCATAGACATGCATGCAGAACCCCCTCAGAATGACGTCAGTGTAAAGTACCAATCAGGCCTGTCACAATAACACATTTTGAAGTACCATATATTGCGGAAGTAAATAAACAACACTATTACACCTAATTTATGCCACTAATGCAAAAAACCCAAGAGCAAATTTAAACCATAAAAACTATTTAAATCTACAATATTGTTAAAAAACCACGAGCTGCAATAAATAAACGGCAAAATGCAACACTTTGAGACTTAGTTTGCATCTGTAATGAGGCATAGAAGTTATTAATTCAACCTTTTACGGATTAAATCTTATCATAAAATTTCCCAGTAGTGCAAAGAAAATGTAGATAATAAATACTAACCCCAAAAAATACTGTTCAGGCTTTCATATATTGAAAGATAAATCGATTTAGCATTATCATGACAGGCCTAGTATCGGTAACATCTTCGTGGAAACAACCTGTTGTAGTTATAATGTTATGGCTGATATGTACAGTGTTTCTTACTCTCCTCTAAATGATGTATTACCAACTCTGCCTCTTCCCTTTAAAAATGCATTGCGAGGCTCATTTTTAACTCTCCCTCGCTCATAACCCCTTTGAGATATTTGTGAAGGCTCCCCATTCGTTTCTCTCCCTTGGTTTGTTTACAGAGGGGCTAACAGTACAAGACGCGATGTCAGAGCAGCTTTTCCCCACCGCGCCTTTAATGGACCGCTATGGCACACCACACATCACCTCCCCCCAAAATAACCTTTAAGACCAAGTTTGGGGTAGAATGATTTCGATGGCATTCAGCTATCATAGAAAGAGAGGAGAAATATATCGGTACAAGAAAAGACTGCAATTTATCAGTACACAGAGCTATGCAAAAGGGCCCTCTGTGTTTGCGGGTAGCTTTGTCCGGACTGGAACATTTCGCTCCAAAATGTTATCAGCGGTATTGGAGAGCCAGCACAAAACTTCACATGGAAAGTTCAGGGGCTGTTTAAAAAAAGTATTGGGAAAGATGCAAGGGAAGTAAAAGTACAAATATATCGCAAACTAGCCACAAAAAGGTGCTGGTTGAAGTTTGAATGAAAGGTTGACTTGAAAAGACCTACTCATACAAGTTTAATAATTAGAAAAAAGTACGCAACTAGTACTTACAGGACTCCAAAATCAGTGACAAAAGTAGTACTGCGTTTATACATGTCTTTTAACTTTTAACTACTATTAATACTTCGACATTTACCAAAACAACAACCAAAAACCACTGCAATCACTACTTATGATAACAGTATAGCTAGTTCTGACTACTGCAATCATTACAACAACTATCTTTTACTACTACAATTACTACTCATCTTAAAATATATACAGTAGAATAACATTGGTACTACTTTTACTACGAGCGATGGGTACTGAAACCAACCAATAAGCAGTATCAGTAAAAGTAGTAGAACTGATAAAACTGTAATGAAACCCATACCTAATAACTACTACTACTTAAATTACAACTAGCACAATAACCACATCAAAATTGGGACTAAACTTAGAACTAAACATACTACTACTACTTAAACTACTACTATTACTACAACTTCTTTCACACAAAAGTAATTAAAATAAGTAATAACATCCACCAATCAATAAGCAGTATCGTTAAGAGTTGTAATACTTGATCAGTCCTTAATGTTACAATCCTTAACTATAATTACTACTACCACTACTACTACTACTACTACTACTACTACTACTACTACTTCTTCTTCTTTCACACAAATAGTAATTAAAATGAAATAAGTAATAACATCAACAAATCAATAAGCAGTATCGCTGAGAGTTGTAATATTGATCAATCGTTAATGTTACCGTCCTTAACTACAATTACTCCTACTACTACTGCTACTACTACTACTACTACTTCTTCTACACAAAAAGTAATTAAAATGAATTAAGTAATAACATCCACCAATCAATAAGCAATATCGCTAAGAGTTGTAATATTGATCAATTGTTAACGTTACCATTCTTAACTACAATTACTACTACTAATACTACTACTACTAATACTACTACTACTACTACTACACTACCAGTCAAACGTTCTCATTCAATGTTTTCTTTCTATATGTCTGGTACTTTCTACATTTGATATACTAGTACATATATTATATTCATACTATATTAAGTATGTTGTATGGAATTATGTAGCAAAGAGAAAAAAACTCTACTAAATATAAATATTTTTAATACTTTCAAACCAAATCCTGTAATTAGCGAGACTTTGCTTTGTCGAAAAAGCGCAATTTAACTTTTTTCCTCACTAAATACTTCTATACATCTTACTTCATATATTTGATGTCTTCAGTATATATCTAAAATATAGAAAGTAGTAAAAAACACTGAATGAGAGTGTGAGTCCAAACTTTTGACACACAAACACCAAAGCAAATAGTAGTAATGTAGTAAGTTCCACCCAGCTGGATCATCTGTGTACCTGTGATGTCTGGTTTCTGCGGCATGAAGAACTGGTAGAAGGTTGGTTCCGACAGTCCTTTGACGTTTCTCGCTGTGATCTCGACTTCGTATCTGGTGTTCCACTGCAGCGGCTGGAGCATCGCGTAGTCATTCGCCCCCGGAACTAGCTTCGTCATCCACTGCTCCTCTTTATCCTGAAACAAAAAACAAAACAAAACACAAAACTGACTCATGTAAGCTTTAAGCCATTTTATAATGTTGTTACCTCATCAAAAACACAAACACAACTCCGGATATGTTTTTGAAGAGGAAACATTCTAACATAGATCAGGACATAACGTAATATGGGCCCTTTAAAAATCCAAAAGTTCAACATATATTTTGAAATAGTTTGTTTTTAAGGTAGAACGCCCACAGGTCTACGTATTTGTATTGATAAAACTAATCCTCCGTGTGCGTTCCGTCTTAAGATATGACTTCAGGGCTGACAGCACGCCTTTAATCCATTGCTTTCTGAAATATACAACAAAGGAACAATATTATGGCAGGCGGAGTGACTTGAGAACAGTGTAAGACCCAATTAAAATGTGTTTGCAATCACTATAATTGTGGAGGCAATTTTCTCATTTCATAAACGAGAGCGGTAAGAAAAATAATTGTTTTGCCAGCTTGTTTTAATACTACACACCGCCTAGTGCAATTCAGTACAAATGACGGATAACCGAATTCACGGGAGAAATTTTTGTTAGCATGAGCAGAGGTGAGGTCTTCTTAAAGGGCCCATATCACGCTTATTTTAATTATTATAATGTTGTTTCCTCATTGAAAACAACATGTTCTTCTCTCAAACAGAAAACACTCTGTTCTACCTTGTGAATTCATGTGGTAATACAGGAAGTGCTCAATTGTTTTTAAACTCAACTTCAAACTTCATAAGAATCATCTGGAGAATTTCAGCCCTAGAATTGCCAGTGTATAGTAAACAAAATCTAAAAAGTAACTGTTAACTAGAAAGCTACCATTACATGACATCACGGGGTCAAACAGAGCACTCAAACATGTGTGAATAAAACAAAACACAATTATAACATGGCTTTAAACTCACAGGAGTCAATATTACATAATATAGGACTTTTAATAGTTCACTCATACTTGTTAAAGTACGAGTGAACTATTAACTATTAAGTATTTGTTAAATTAACTATTAACTATTTTTTAATTTAAATATTTTTAGAAAGAATTCCAGGCCTCAAGTCCAAGTCACGTCCCAAGTCACTGACCTTTAAGTCCAAGTTGAGTCCCAAGTCTTAGGCCACATTTACACTGAAACGAATCACCATATCACCGTATCATCGTATAGGAAACGATCTGCGTCCAGACACATTGTTTCTGTGTCTGCAAGCCTCCCTATCCACACAGCTTTGAGCATATTTGTTTACATTTTACAGAAACAAAACTTAAAACGGCATGGCTCATTTGCATTAACTGAGTGCTCAAAAAACAGCTCGCTCTTTGTGTGCTGATGCGGTTCAGATTCTGTCAGACTAAAGGACACGGCTCAGTGGATTATGTGTGTTCTTTCTGTGACAGAGGGGTGTTCTGCTGATGGGGAGTCTGTTCTGTGCTTCTATCACGTTGGAGATGATTCATGTTAAACCTTTCAGAAATTATATGTCTGCAGGTCATACTCATAGACTGTATATATGAATGGACATATATTCTAGCCTCTTAGTGTTTTGGCGATGAATTACTTCGCGGCACATAGACCTACATCGGCGTATCAGCGTATCATCGCTTACAGGCATTCACACAGTGCCGGATCAGATCTGTACTCAAATGATTTCGTTGGTGCTGGCGGCACCAGATCGTTCTATCTCTGGAGCCGTTTTCAGTCGGATTAGTGTGGACGAACACTGCATCCGCAATGAAAACAGCTCGAATACGGACTAGTGTGGACGGGGCCTTAGTCCATTTTATCAAGTCAAGTCTCAAATTCTAAAAAGTAACTCAAGTCTGAGTCGATTCCAAGTCACAACTTGCAAGTCCCCACCTCTGGAAAGTGACCCAGACAGACACAGAGACTACAACTACATCTTTTTATGCCTGATTTGCAATAGAAATGAGATTATCTTAACTCAAATTCAGAAAAAAATTTATTAAATAAATAATAATGATAAAATGTCCAATACCACAGCGTGACACCCCATCTTCTGAATTCAAAAGCTATTTTACCAAACAAATCATTTGTTTGGCAAAACAGAAATTTGTAATATTATGCATTAAGACTAACACAAAGATGTTAAAACATGCAAGCTTGTATTGTTCTGTGTGCTGTACCCTGCTACTCCAGTCAATGGGCACTCCACAGGGAAGAAAATGCATACCCAGGAGAGCTATTGTCTCGAATACAAAAGAAAGCCTATCTTTTCTATTATGTGAGCTAAAATTGCAAGCTTTTAAATAGGACAATCTCTGCTTCTTGATAATTTTGAGTGGCGGATTTAAAATACTTGCCAATTTGAAAGAGTTATCACAAAAAAACACGGTATTTGGCTGAAATTGTAAAATATTGATGGGTAAATAGAAAGTGGAAAGTAAAACAACCTCGGCAGGATTTCAGTTGAGAAAAGAATAGAGACTGGTGAGTTTTAATGGTTGCCACATCGCTTGTTTTTTTCCAATAAAGATGTAGAAGTAAAAAGGAAATGGTAAAATTGCAGGTTTGGAAAATAAAAATATGAAGATTTGAGAGGAAACTTCTTTTGACCACTTGAGCACTGTCAAGAAATGTAAAAAAAAAAGCGGGTTTCGAGAAGTGTTTTAAGCACTCAAAACAACAGGATGCAAGTGCAAATTTATCTGCGGCAATTTGGAGATTTCGGAAGATTTTTTTTTGAGTTTGGTGACACAAAAAGACTAAAATTCAGCAAAAATGAGAAAATGGAGCGTGAAAACTAACTCTATTGGTAACACGACACTGAGACTTGAAGTTCGTGTGCAATAATAACATTTAACTTTTTTAAAACAATTTAGCAGACGTTTTAGAATTTACTATTTGAATATTTATAAGGGGTGTAAGAAATGTGCTTAGTTGTGACAAGAAGAGTAAGAAAAACTAAGCAGCCTGATTAAAAAAAAAAAAAAGTAGTAGTAGTTTTTATGAAATTCCTTTTTTCATTTAGATTTCTTTACACAAGTTTGTAATTCTGGCAAGATATTTTTTTTCCTCTGGGTCTTTTGAGGTGATTGGTCAAAAGGCAAAACGTAGCAGGTTGTCACTGGCTCATCGGTAAAACATACTTCAATGCGATTTCCCTGATTTGTACCGTCTTAAAAATGTGAAAAACAAAACAAGTTCATTTTCACAACTTTCAGAGACCAGAGCTTTGCTGTCATGCTAAATCTAACACCAACTAGCATGCTAACCATGTACTTCCTGATTATTGGACAACAAAATGCTGTTTAATTAGATGCAGACAGTACACAGAAGACTTATTTTGACCTCTAGAGCTGCTTATACAGTAAAGACATACTTTGAACAAATACTTAGAAAAATAAAAGAAAATCAGTTAATAATAATAACAATGCACAACAATATACACAAGTTTGAAATTCTGGCAAGATATTTTTTCCCCCTATGGGCCTATCGAGGTGATTGGTTAAGAGGCAAAACGTAGCAGGGTGTCACTGGCTCATTGGTAAAACATATTTTGATGTTGAACATATTAAAGCTCAGTCCCTAATTTAAAAACAGAACAAGTTCATTAACATTTTTTGCAGTGGTCCAAAGCACAGATCTGCGCAGGACACAATTTTCAGTCCCACTTCTGCCTGCAAAGAATTGTAATTTTCTTTCCCGCTCCCGCCCGCATCTGCGATATTTTGTCCCACTCCCGTCTGCAAATCCCGCAAGATGGGGATGTTCACTTTCTTAAGCTCTATCAAACACAGAGAAGCAGAAAGGAATTGTCTAAAATGTGCGTGATATTAGATTACATCCGCAAATTTAGGCTGCTTAAAATGTTTTTATTAATGCCAAATAAAATATCCAGCACAGATGATGTATGACAGGCAAACATTAACCATTTGTATATTTATTTATTTACACTCATATTTAGTTTGCGGGACTGCAGTTTATCATCCCATCCGCCCGCTCCTGTATTGTGCAGTCCCGCTCCCGTCCGCGCCCACACTGAGCTTTCAAAATGTGTCCCGCGCTGCACTGTTTTGCGTCAGGTCCCACGGGTGCAGGGCTCTAGTCCCAACTTATTCCTCACTTACCTTACATATTCCGAACATCCTAATTATTCATAAGCACTTTTCAAACTTTCAGAGACCAGAGCTTTGCCGTCATGCTAAATCTAACACCAACTAGCATGCTAACTACATACTTCCTGATTATTGGGCAATAAAACGCTGTATAATTATATGCAGACTTATTTAGACCTCGAGAGCTGATTATACAATCTATCTGTACGGCGGAAAGACACATTTTGCTCAAGTACATTAAAAAAATATCAGGTACAAGTCCCTTAATATGTTACCAGTGAAGATCTACTTTTTTGCCAGCTTTTTTAAATAACATGAACTACTTTCTCTCCACCACGCTCCAGGATCCTTGCCATCTGTTTGCGCATACCCCAGTGCGTCTGAATAACCACACTGTTTAACTCGCACACACCCTAGTGCTTTTGAATAACCACCCAGTTTGACTCGCACACACCCTAGCCATTACTCACCGTTTTGTACTTGACGATGTACTCCACTATGGGCATGCCCCCGTCGTCCTGCTTGACCAGTCCCAGCCTGTAGGCCTTGCCCACTCCCCTCTGCCCGTGCACGGCGGGGGGGCTGGGCTCTCCTATGGGAGGGACACACACAATGCGGTCAGCTTGGGTGGGTGAATGTGTGAGACAGAGAAAGAACAGGTGGTAATGTGAGATATGGGTTAAGGTTGATATCCAAGGAGAAAAATGGCTTAAAGCTGGATTAGAATAACATTATCTGGCAACCCCAACTGGTAGCTATAACTAATGTTAGCTGCATGGGGCTGCTTATTATGCTAATTGTTTTTGCTAATTGGGGCACTTTTCACTGCTCATATGATTAACGTTTGACAATGTTTATGATCAGATTTATTGAGCGTTACCAGAGGCTATAAAAAGTCAGCAAAACTCCAGCAGTTGATACAGTTAGAAAAATTTATAGTATAGAAAAATGTATTATTGAGCGGGCTACCTGAATATAAGACACACCAACTAAATTCTAACAAAATAAATTCTAACAAAAAAACTTGTACATATATAGGCGGCACCTAAATATAAGCCGCAGGTGTCCACGTCTTCAAGAATGTTTTCAAGTTCGGGCCGTCTGCTTTTATCGCCTCTGAAAGCTTTTGTCGTCTTTTTGCATTGAGTCAGTTCGTCACGGTGCTGTCGCCAAAATCTCACCATCGACTCACTGATGTCGAGCTCACGTGCAGCAGCTCTGTCTCCTTCTTCCACAGCCAATTGCCGTTAACTTAAAAACTGCATCATCTGTATTTCTTTGTGTGTTTTCCATGAGGAGGGTGTGTGAATGAAGTGCAAAATAACTGTAACTATTCAAAACGCAATCAAACTAGAATCTTCCTTGACACATCACCCTCGTCTCTCCCCATGTTCTACTGCGCATGTCTCCTGCAGAAAGAGCCTCTGTCCTGTCTGTATCATGTCAATGTCAGATTTCAGACTCTCTCGGGGGCGGGGCTACTTCAATCAATCAAGTATGAGTGGATGTTCGACTACTGAACTTTGAGACGTTTCCTCTCGTCATTTACGCATTCAGGTAAGACGTAGCATCATAACTTATTTTATCACATGGCAATAAACTATTTGAGTGCAATATCTAGTGTAGCAACTTCATGTTAACCTAGATCCATGCGTAACCCTCACAGACAGCATTGATTTCTGCTCTCAGGCTGCTCGTATCCGCTGTGTTGCCAAACCATAGACCGTATATATGAATGGACAATGTGCCAAACAAAGAATCCATCCATATATTCGCCGCATCGTTTTATTAGCCGCAGGGTTCAAAGTGTGAGAAAAAAGTAGTGGCTTATAGTCCAGAATTTACAGTAGGTTCTAAAATGTGGATTATATCGGATAGCGGAACAGAGAATACAAATGCTGCAAGAGAGAAGCTTGAAATGAATAGCTACAACTAGTCTGAGGTGGCTGCTGGTTTTGCTGCTGCGGTGTCAATGGGCTTGAGAGATGATTGGTTGAGAATGAAACATAGCAGGTTGTGATTGGTCAACAGTTACAGGTACAACAAGAATTACATTTCTCTTCCTGCTTGAATTTTATATCATAATTTAAAGGTGTGCTATGTAGCTTTTCTGGTAGATGGCTGCTTGTCTCTATGGAGATGTTATTGTTTTGGGAGAAATGTTCCACACCATGGCATTAAATTAGCCCGTATTGGTTCAAGTCTGTGTTTTTTTAATAGTAAAAATAACAGAAAAAAAACATGCAGTCTCGTTGTAAAGCCTGACCTGTTTGCTGCTCATCTCCATGGAGTTAGATATGTTTAATGCCATACTGTGGAACATTCAACACCCCATCAGAAAAGTTCCTTAGCGTACCATTTATTATTTTATTCAGCTTTTACTTGAAACTTACTTGAAATTCTTAATGATTTTTGTAGTCATGGCGTCTCTGTGCAATACTGTCAGCTTCTAGACATCATGACTTGGAATGGAAATATATATAGAGGAGGTATAGACTCACTGATGGGTAGCGTCTGGAAGTTCTCCGTGTGGCTGAACTCTCCCTGACCCTTCCCGTTCACCGCCGCCACCCGCACCTCGTACGTCGTGTTGGGCTCCAGACCCGTGAGCACCACCGTCGCTGTGACAACAACAACACAACAACAACAACAAAATCAAACTCATATCACGCAGGAATTACATCGTCAATCTCACTAAAAACACTAGTGAGGCTAAACTAAACAAAAAATAAGTTCTTTTTTATTAGCAGTGAAATCATGCCGATAGCGTTGGTGTCTTGGCAGCGTATTTGCATTGAATTCATTGTGCGTCATAAAAAGTTTTAGCTTTTGATAGCGTTGCTGCTTTTATTGGTTTAATAATTTGCGAATGGCCATGAAACTTTATATGTTTTGTTTTCTCAAGTGCAATTGGATGTATATAAAAATAAATAGAATTCTTAAAGGTGCAATAGTGTTGTCATGATTAGAGATAGACTGATATATGGACAATATTTCAACTTTTTAGTGCATCGGCTATTGACCTTAAATCTCCAGCAGAGGCCAATATTTTGTTTTTGTGGATTGCTGCCTAAAGAATACACATAAAACTTTATTTTAACACATAATATGAAGCGATAACTGTACAAAATGTGACTGCACAGCTCTCTTATAGGTTATACGGTTAAAAAAAGTTTGTAGGTGAGTTTGGAGTAAATCTAAATAGCAAACTTTGGGGAAAATGATAAAAATCTGCCATATCGGCTCAAAACTATCAGCAGGGGTTATCGTCCATCGGTTTCTACACATTCTAAACAATCAGTATCAGCATCGGTCATGAAAATAATCCATCGTCATATCTCCAGTCATGATATTAAAATAGCAAACTCAATTTCGATATTAAGGAACAAAAAACTTGAATGTAACAGTGCGTTCTTTACATTACTATGTGGTTCTATCCTGGTGCTGAAAATTGTAACAGAAGGTTCATATTTTGTCATGTTCATGGAAAATTTTCAGTATCAATACATAAATTAGTATTGATTTTTCATACTTTTGACCAGTGGTGTAGTGTGAATTTTTGTAAGTGGGGGTACACAATTCGTGACGTCATTGATGTGATGAGGACTAAACCAGGACTAAATCAGGACTAAACCAGGACTACAGCAGGACTAAACCAGGACTAAACCAGGACTAAACCAGGACTAAACCAGGACTAAACCAGGACTACAGCAGGACTACAGCAGGAATAAACCAGGACTAAACCAGGTCTAAACCAGGACTAAACCAGGACTAAACCAGGACTAAACCAGGACTAAACCAGGACTAAACCAGGTCTAAACCAGGACTAAACAAGGACTATAGCAGGACTAAACCAGGATTACAGCAGGACTAAACCAGGACAAACCAGGACTAAACCAGGACTAATCTTGGACTTGAGAGTGAGAACCCGGAGCCCGTGGAACAGGGTGTCCGCAAAGCACAATCAGGCGGTCTACGCAGGTGCACCTCTGGGCCCATCCCGACACTCACGCCTGGTTCAGTTCTGGTTTAGACCTGGTTTAGACCTGGTTTAGACCTGGTTTAGTCCCGTTTTAGTCCTGTTTTAGTCATTTTTAGACCTGTTTTAGTCTCAGTCCTCAGTCCTGGTTCAGTCCTGGTCCCTCATGACTCAGGTCACTATAGGACAGTACTGCGGATATCATAAGCCTGAGCACGTTGTTTTCACCATTGCCAATAGCTCCAGTTTGACATTTAAGTTGTAGCTATTTTATTTTTGTTATTTTTTTATATATCACGTTGGGAGCAGTGGGTGGACGGCGTACCCCCGTGTACCACGCCCACTACACTCCTGCTTTTGACAATTCTAAGCTGTAACTTTCCTGGTGCTGGGTACATCATATGCTTGTTTATTGCTTTGCCTGGAACATTCAGCAGTATGGTTTTAAACTTATCTGTTTTGCATTTATTGAATTATTGTTACAGTTGTTTTTATTGCTCAAAAGCACCATTCCACAGATCTGACCTGGTACTGGAATCAATCAATGTTGAGTATCGAGTCTTAGTATCTAAATCAAGTTTGAAATTTTAATATCATGACAACACTAATGGACATAGCTACGGTTATTGTCATACTGTGGAACATTCCAGGCAAAGAAATGGCATCACCATTGGGACACAAGCAGGAAAAAGTTACATATTACCCCTTTAAAGTTTGAGTTTCATTACCAGCTTGGATCCTTTTGTTTACATCTTTTGGTACCAGACACCTCTTTAATACCACTCTCTCTCACAAAAAAGGATTATAATTGGCTATTTCGGTGAACCAGCATCAAAACAAAGAATGCATTTTAAGTATTTATTGAGCTGAATTCTTAAAAAGGCAACTCTTTAACTCCAACACAGACTTCACAAATTTCCCGAGTCCTCATAGAACTAATAAGAAAGCCGGAGTTTGAAGGTAATGACTTCGATAATGTAAATTGCAGTTTGTATAGAAGGTCCCATTACGAGCGGATTCCTCTCACTTTGGCCCATTTCTACAGATCGCTTTTATAACGAGCTGAAGTCCGTCTGTGCAAATTAAACACTCCAATGTGAATAGGTGCTTTTGCTCGCCTCTGATTGGCCACTCGCAAACAAAATATTCTCATTTGGAGGGAGCTCGGATACTTCACGGGCCATGAGGAGACTTTTTAATTTGGTCCAAAGTGCTGAAAAGTACTAAGTGTATGGAGTTTACTGAGAGACGATCATCTTTAGAGTGGACACTATAGATAGAAACGATAGTGAGCCCCATCTCGGAAACTGCAATTTGCTAATAACAAAATTAGTCTATCCGGTATAATTAAGAATGTTTTTAAGGTTGAATGGTGAAGAGGGTTGTAGAAATTGCAGTAGTAGTAATATTAGGTTAAAGTCCATTTGACAGATTCATATATTTTTTCAAATTATGGTATCTACATAAATATTCAACATAATTTGAGTGGTAGAAAAGTAGAAAATCAAAAGTTTGAAAATACAAGAAATTAGTTCTTAAAAAGGAATATCTCTACCTCTAGAAAGTACACATTATACTTTGATAAGTTTTATGCCATACTGAATAATAATATTAGCCTGATTCATCAGCCGGTTTCATTTCGTAGAAATCATCTGACCTCGCAGCATTAGAATTCATTCACTTGACAGTAGGCATGCACTTTTTTTAATTTAACCAATCGCTGCTATTTGGTCATGACGTATGTTATGCGCCGCTATCAGGGTTAACTGGTATATTAAGCTTTTCCCAAATGCCGTAGGAAGAAGGGCAAAAACATCTTTCCCCTTGATAAAATTCACTAAACATTGTCTTTGTTTCGGCTTTAAATCCTCGATCTCGGGATTCGGTGCCAACGTTGCTGATTGGCTGGTGTCCGAACTCACGCTTCCAGGGTTTTTGCAAACCGTCTATTGTATTCCGAATCCTGACCTAGTCGCTGGAGTGAAATTAAATTGAGCAGAGGCACTAGGTGGCATCAGCCTGGCTATAATAGTATAGCCAAAAAAACAAATGCAGGAGTCAGGTTTGTGGAAATGCAAGCCCACTCATAGTAAGGTCACATGTTTTTCAGTGCAATAAAGACAAGAAAAATGAAAAAAAAAAAAAAAAAACTAGAAACTGCTTTTATTTTAGCCTTTTTTTTTTTGACAAAAATGTCCATACTGTGGCTTTAAACAATAGCAGCATTTTTAGAAGGAGTTGATTGTAGCTTTCTTTTTTATTTTGAAATCAGCCACTCAAATGCATACTGTTATTAGGAATTATCACAAGGTCATACTGTAGATCAGGGGTGTCAAACTCAAATTCACAGAGGGCCAACATTAAAAACTGCATGTTTTCTCGTCTTTCCAGATATGAAATGTTAAACCTTTTCTCCTTAAAATAAATGTTTAATAATAGTTTTGCTTAAACACTGAATTCAGAACAAGCATTACATAAAGTAATAACAACATTTTAAATAAATTACATCTCTATAGCCTAATCTAATAATCAAATACATATTTGATATGATCTCGCGGGCCGATTATATAATTATATCGGCCTGAGTTTGACATGTCTGCTGTAGATAGTCCAGGTCAATAGCAATGCAAACATCACAATTCTTGGAAGTAGGTTTAAAGCAATTACTGTATTCACAAGATCAACCCGTGTCATATTTTTCATTGTGATAGGGTCAAATGAGAAGAGTTAAGAGTTTTAAATGTTTAGTCAAATAATAAAAGAGCATACAACTATGACTACATACAGATAGTCAAATATCTTTCCATCGCTATGAGTTGTAATTGATTATCCATTATTATTATTTGGATTGAAAGTACATTAAAATACGTGCATGTTGAGAATATACAAGCTAAAATAGAGATATAAACGCTGAGGAGTTCTGATGACTATTTAAAGAGCTGTAATCACACATCAGGTCTATATATATGATAAGAAATACTGACGTCTTTATGGACCCTTTTCCGCGTGTTTACTCTATTCATATCAATAATAGATGCTGACTGGTTCAATCTAACGGGGAAGTGTCTCTGTGGGTTTGTCCTCATTTCAGTTTCTCAGAGTCAACACTTATCGAAGGTTTCTTACACATCAGCAACACGCGCACATTCAAAACATAAGGTTAATCTGGGTCCTCGTACAAAGCTGAAAAACGTAGCTCGAGTTTGAAAATGTTTGCTTAAATTTTATGTTAAAAAGCACTTTTGTAACTTTATTATTTGTCGGTTTTATGTAGTTATTTACTTAGTTCTTCCATTTTTTTCTTAATCAGTGATACACATAGGATTCGGTTGAGTTGTGTAATCATCTTGGCACAAATGAAAAAAAAAAAATCAGCTGATTTGCTGTCCATACCTCTTTGTTATGATGATGTTAACTGTTATGTTGGCTCCCATTGAGCACCACAGTTTTCTAACACATTTTAGAAGAATATTGTGGTTTAAAATGCCCGTAATGATGCACGGTTGTAGTATATTAGAACTATATAACAGACACAAGCAAAATATGCATTCTTTAACGTTATTAAAACAATAAATTGCATTTTAACTATATACATTTTAGAGGTCTCCATCTGTATTAAATATTGTTGCCTATAGAATATTATGAAGTGATCTGAAAATCCTACAGCCAAGTTAGAACACCTCTTTTCTTTATGAAGTGAACATAGACTTAAAGATGCACTGTGTAACTTTTTTGTTGAGGGTTCGTTACCTGCTTGTTTCTATGGATATGTTATTGCTCTGCCTAGAATGTTCCACAATATCTACCTTACATTCATTCAATTACAGGTGGCTTTAGAGCTCAAAAATACCTTGAAAAACAGGCATTCTGACTGTGAGCGAGGTCGCCTCTCCACCGGTCTGACCTGTAACTCGGTTTGGTTTGGTCTCCATGAAGATACAAAGGTTTACTACCATACTGGGAAAATTTCCAGACAAAACAATAACATCTATTTGGAGTAAAACAATGTGATGGATCTTCTACCAGAAAAGTTACTCAATGCACATTTAAGGTATGACAAAACTAATGTGTTGTTTAAAGAAATTTTGCATTTTTTTCTTGAATTTTCAGGTGATCTTCAAACTTTTTTAGGGTAATATGCGCATTGTGTCACCGTGGTAACTGCAGAACATTCCTCCATAGACATATAGGCAGAACCCAAGCAGCATGATGTCACTGCGAAGTGTCAGTTGTTGTCCTCGATGCTAAAGGTCCTCCAAACATAATCTATAGTGTTCATCTTACTCTGTACACTGTGCGAGCGTACGTCCCTCCACTCCAGTGATCCGGCCTCTCTGTACTGCACCAGGTAGTAGCTGATGGGCACTCCCCCGTGAGAGTCTGGGGTCATGAAGGTCACCGTCGCCAGGCGCTGGGAGACCGCCGACAGTCGCACCGAGTGAGGGTTAGACGGTACATCTGTGAATACAAATACAGGTCAGACTCATTAGAATAATACATACAACTTGGGCGACAGTGACTCAGTTGGGAGGTTGGTGGTTCGACTCCCGCTCTCGACATAAACATTAGTGGAGCAGTCAGATTCCAGATTGCAATTCCAGCTCCCACAGATGAACGCTATAGTTGTGTCCTTGGGCAAGACACTTATACTATCTCACCCCAAGAATTCACGTACATTGGTGTATGAATGGGTGAATGGTTCCCTGTTGTAAAGTACTTTGGTCAAAAAGCACTATATAAAAGTTTTGCGGTTCGAATCCCACTCCCATCGGTGAATGCAGTTGTTGTGTTCTTGAGCAAGACACCTTCCTTATCTTGTTGTGTGTGGATGAGTCGCTGACGTAAGAGCGCTTTGAGGTGGAAACGTGTTGTATAAAAATGTGACAAATGATGATCAAATGTGAAATAAATAAGATTTGTGAAGGAAATTAGAAAACAAAAAGTTGGAAAATACAGGAAATAGCAGTAGACGTGTGTTTCTGATACAAAGAGGAGAGAGTTTTATTCTGGATTCCATTTTTCTAGTGCTAGTGTTAATTTTGACAACAAATTTTTAAATTTTAGTTTGGTTAAGTTTTAGTGAACAAAATATTATGCAAATTTACTCAACAAAACTTCAGAATCATTTGAAATAATACTAAGAATTGTTCCTTGGAATTGGAGTCTTTGCTTTTACACTACATCAAAAGTGAACTAGGACTAATCTTGGAATTGAACGTAGACTAGACCAGGACTAAAGCACGACTAAACCGAGTATGATTGGATCTAGTCTAATCCGTGTATCATTTGTTCATTCATTCAACAAAATAAATAAGAAATAAAAAAAAACGGATAATGGCATCACAGTTTAAGTCACGGAAACCGGAAACGGCCATTATACGTTTTTTCCTTTATTCATTTAATCACAAAATCTAAAACTGAAAAAACTAATCGTTATCCTTTTTTTCATTTTGGTTTTGGAGATAAATAATGAAGAAAACTGTTGTTTTTTCATTTTCTTATTTTTGGTTTTATATTGAAAAATGAATGAACAAATGATACACGGATTTAGTCTCCACTTGTAGATTCTGTTCATATTTTTACATTTTTTTTCCCCCTTCAGCAACATTTTTCATTATTAGTTGATAATAAATTTCATAAATAACTAATGTCAGACTAATAATTACCAACTGTATTAAAATGCTTTATATATATATACACTGTACCTTATTCTAAAAGTGTTACCAAAATAAGTTTTTTAAGCCATCGCCGTTTACTTGTTCTTAAATTTTATCCGCCATGCATCAAAACTACTTAACTGCCCAAAATTTGAATGGAACATCTTTTTCTGAGCTTGCTTTTACTGATCACAGATTAAAAGCCAATCTAACACCTTAGTGAATTATCCTTCTAAAAACACTCCAAACTTCCTACGTTGCTGTTACTTTATCCACCGGGTCGATTCCAATTATTTTGTTTCAGGTGCCGTCGCTGATTAGAAAATTACATCCCCCCAAACTCAAATTAATAAAAACATGTTTGAAGAGCGCGCTTGAAGAGAAAATGAACCGCCATCTCCGCGCATTACACAAAAACATGATAATTAGCACGCGCATACAAACAGCTGCTACAATTAAAAGAGTGACATTTCCAAATGCTTTTATTTTGAAGGAGCTGTCGACGCCGTTAATTACTATCGTGCGGGAGAGTCTTTTAACCAGTGGAACATGACAAGAACATGCAAATGATAAATAATTATGATTTAAAGTGCTGCCAAGCTAATCTGTCATGTGGCTTTGCTAAGTCATTTTGCCCCCACAACAATTTGTAAGATAAATCCGCCGTCGGTAGTGCTATGTTCACTGCGAGCTGCACTACTGTATGTCATCTTGTAAATCTATGGGTAGGTTGCCATAGTGATTAACAATTTAAAACATACTATGTTTTCAAAATGGGAAAAAGCTCTCAAAATGTTGTATGTAACCAGAAGCTGAAATCCATGACTATGAACGGTCAGTCAAAATTATATCAAAGTGTACGAAATTTTGCCCATTTATGATCAATAAGAGAAACAGTAAAACATAAAACCAACAAAAGTAGAAAAAATAGCATTAGTATAGTTTAGTTTAGTAAAGTTTCACTATGTAGCTTTCTGTTGGCAGCTGCTTGTTGCCATGGAGATGTTATTGTTTTGCCTGGAATATTCAGTAATAAAGCACTGAACTATCTATATGTGAGCAAGGACACCGCTTCACAGATCTGGCCAGAACTTGGCCTGGTGATGTCACATACTTGTTTCCATAGACTGTTGATAATAGATAAGTTTAATGCCATACTGTGGAACATTGCAGACAAGCAACTGACAGAAAAACACGCTACAGGTCTCCATCAACAGTTGATAGTCAAGGTCAATTAAAAATACAATCAATTCAATCATTGTGTGTCCTTAGGCAAGACACTTCACCCACATTGCCTAGTATGAAAGTGGTGTGTGTGTGAGTGATGGTGGTGGTCGGAGGGACCGATGGCTCCGAGTGGCATGGCAGCCGCGCTTCTGTCAGTGTGCCCTAGGGCAGCTGTGGCTACAATAGTAGTTTACCATCACCAGGGTATAGAATGAATGAACTGAATGAATGAATGCTGAATGAATAATGCTCTGTAAAGCGTCTTTGGGGACAGAAAATGTCTGTGAAAAGCGCTATATAAATAAATAAAATAAATAAAGAAGATACTCCATCAGAAAAGTTCCATAGTGCACCTTTAACGTTGCCATTTACTATTGCATTCTGTGCCAATGAAATGTAACAAAGTAAAGAAACAAAAAAGATAAAAAAAAGGGTTAAAAGAAAACCGAAAACTAGAATTTATTTGGAATTTATGTGGAAGTTATTTATCTGCATGAATCTTGGGTTAGGATTGAATAAAAGGTGAAACTATTCAAATGATTCTAGTGACGGTGTATGAAGTTTAAAAGCACAGTGAAGTGCTTCCTGTATTACCACATGACATCACAAGGTGGTAGAGATGTTTTCTGTTTGAGCTTAAATACGCAAATGACTGGAACAGGAACATTGTAACGGAAATGGGCCGAAACATTGTGTTTCTCAGAGTGCTGCCTTGTACCACCTCCATACAATAATGTGACTATTGTACGTTTTGAAATGTCATTGTCATTCTTTGTTAGCGCTCATTTGAACACTCCTCAAGAGCCTTCTCCAATCCTTTAAGTCCTTTAATGCTCCAGCCCGTTATAAAACTGGCCTTTCCACAAATACAGAAATACTCAGAAAGCACAGCGTGGTACTGCAGATAAATGTAAAAGTACACGTAACTGCCCATAGTCTTATAATGGAACTATTCTACAGAAATGAATTATGAAATGTACTTAACAGCACCCAGCAGAGTTCATGTAATATTTTTACACAATCTTTAGAAATTGTTTTAATAAGTTTCATGTTTTTATTCTCTTGTGGTACACTGTCACTCACTCCTGATAAAGTGTATAGTTAGCATAAAAAGTATAGTTAGTTGTTATTTAGTTAAAGTTTAGTAGTAAAGTAGTAGTAGTAGTCATAGCAGTAGTTAGTAGTAGTAGTAACAGTGCAGTAGTCATAGTAGTAGTAGCAGCAGTAGTAGTAGTAGTACAGTAGTTGTAGGCATACTTCAGGTTAGTACATTAGTAGTGTAGATAATTTGATGATTATCTGTTTTAGTAGGCTGGTGGTAGAAGTACTTATATTAGTAGTTGTAGAAGTAGTACTAGTATTCGCAGTAGAAGAAGCAGCAGCAGCAGCAGTTGTCATAGTAGTAGTAACATTGGATACAGTAGTTGGGCATACTTCAGGTTAACAAATGTAGGATGAATCGATTATTTGTTTTTGTAGGCTAGTGGTAGCAGTACTTATATTAGTAGTAGCAGTAGTGGTAATGACATTTGTTGCAGTAATAGGACATTCTTGTATTAATACTTGTATTAGTAGTAGTAGTATTAGAAGTAGTAGCACTAGTAGTAATGACATTTGATTTGTTGCAGTAATTGGACATTCTTATTTTAGTACTTGTATTAGCAGTAGTAGTAGTAGTTGTAGTAGTACAAGTAGTAATGACATTTGATTCGTTGCAGTAATTGGACATTCTTGTATAATTACTTGTATTAATAGTAGTAGAAATAGTAATAGTAGCAGTAATAGTAATGACATTTGATTTGTCGCAGTAACTGGACATTCTTGTATTAGTACTTGTATTAGTAGTAGTAGCAGTAGTAGTTGTAGTAGCAGTAGTAGTAATCACATTTGATTTGTCACAGTAATTGGACATTCTTGCATTAGTACTTGTAGTAGTGGAAGTAGTAGTAGTAGTAGTAGTAGTAGTAGTAGTAGTAGTAGTAGTAGTAGTAGCAGTAGTAGTAATCACATTTGATTTGATGCAGTAATTGGACATTCTTCAGAAACCATGATTTGATTAAATGTTTTAGTAGTAGTAGCAGCAGCAGTAGTATTAATTATAACTGTAGTTGTAAATTGTGACAGTATTACAAACAGTGATGTTTCGCAGTATCTAGTAGTACAAACACAGTGTACTGTGGACGAATCCTTCCTCCGTCTCAAACTCTAACTTCCCTGTTTACTTCCTATTGTTTCCATCTCGCGCCCATATTAGGTCATCTCTCCGCCGCACACTTCCTGGTCTGCGAGGGAAGGCAATCTGCACTAAACATAATTGGACGGCACAGTTGTGTATTAGAATGCACTACAGTAAATTAGGGTAGGTGCTTCAGTAAATAGACCGCACCGGGCCTATGTGAAATCAGCCAGCACTTTTTCAGATTAGACTTGGCTGCGTAGGGCTAGGGACTTGTAGTGGAATCTATCCTGCCTGGGAATTGCAAATAAGGCTATTAGAGTTAGCAAAAAGAGGTTACACAGTAGTTTGAATGGAGGAGTGTAATGATGTAAGCTATATAGATTTGTTAGTGAAATAAAAAGTCATTAACTGTGGACCCACCTGCTTGTGCTAGAATGAATTCCTGGTATCGAATTCCAATGTTGTTGCGGGCTGTGCAGTTGTAGCGGCCAAAATCCCGGTCGGACATCGGAGTCACCTAAGAACAAATTGGGAGGATTGTTAACAAAAGTGCCCCAATTCAGAATCAATGCGTACAACTAACAAGGGAGCAGCGTAACTATGGAAACGATAAAGAAGCTGTTCCTGATTTTGACTGATTTCAAATGGCTCATATGATACTGTTTTCTGATCTATGTTATAATGTTGTTTCTTCATCACGAACAGACCTGGAGTTGTGTTTTGTTTCATTCACACATGTTTAACACACAAGTAATACAGGAAGTGTTCCACTGTGTTTGTAAACTCCATACACCTTCGCTATTTGGATAATTCTTCTTCTCCTCTGGACTTGGGTTCACTAAATCATTTAGTGAAGCCAGGTGAAGCCAAACTTAGTTGTCAAAATGGACCCTGATCTAAAATTGATCAGCAAATTAGTGCTGTTGTAAAGTCTAGTTGTTTCCAGCTAAGACAACTATTTTGTCAAAAACTTCGAAACTGTCATGCATGTATTTGTGATGACTAGATTGGATGATTGTAATGCACTTTATGTTGGTGTCAGCCAAAATGCACTTTGTTGTCTGTTTGCCACAGGTCCAAAACTCAGCGGCTTGACTTTTAACTGGAACCCGGAAACACGAGAGCATCTCACCTCTTTTAGCCTCTGTCCATTGGCTTCCAGTGCCTTTTAGAGTCGATTTTTAAATTCTTTTATTTACTTTTAAATGTTTGTATGGCCTAGTGCCCTCCTACCTCGCTGACTTGATCCACCCTTATGCTCCCTCTCGGGTCAACAGACCAGCTCCAGCTCGCCATCCCATAGACTACACTTGATCTTTGAGGGCACTGAGAGTTTTCTGTTGCTGCCCCATGGCTGTGGAAGCAGTCGCCATTAGAGATTAGACAGACAAAGTCTGTACCTGTTTTTAAATCACTCCTAAAAATGCACCCTTTTTCACTTTTTAACAAGTGACATGCACATTTTTTGTTGTTGATTATCTTATTGTTTTCTATGTTTTTTACTATTTGTATTATGTGTGCATTGTGTATTGTCTTGTACTGCGATTGTTCTTTTCTATTCAGTGTTTGTGTACAGCACTTTGCACTACAGCTGTAAAGTTTTTAAAGTGCTTTATAAATAAAGTTGGTGTGGTATGGTAATTTCAGCTCTGGAAATGCCAAGTAGCTGTTAACTTGAAACTACCGCTTCATGACATCACAAGGTGGAACAGAGCATTTTGATCTTTGGAGATGTAGACAAACTAATAATAAAGGATTACTTATATGTGTGTGAATAAAACAAAACACAACTCGAGGTATGTTTTGATGAGGTAAGAATTAAAGCTCACGAGAGTCAATTTTGCACAAAGACCTTTAAACTTCAAATTCTTCTCTTTCCTAATACATTCCTAGCATCCTAAATAGATGAGTTTATAATCACATTTCTAACCTTCAGAATAGTTCAACAATACTAACAGCTGCCACGCTAACAGCCTCACTTCTTGGAGGCTTGTTTTTGACCATGAGCTTTTAGAATACTGGGGCAAAACTGATTTACGTTTAATACATGAAATAAATTGGGTACATCTACTTGAAAGTACATTTTCCTGTCACAATTTCAAACTGTATATTCTGGAACGGTGTGTTTGGATTTGCATCAAATTGCAAGTATTGCCGTGAGTGGGTGGTTTAGAGATGCTGAAAGACAAAAGATTTCTGCAGAGAAAAGTGGTACATTTTGTTTATAGGTGGTTTATCTTTTCAAAATGAGTATAATCCTTGAGTCCTTGGTTCCAGAGTGTGAACTAGTGTGGCCTTTTTCTAAAATCACAGGTCTGGTTAAAGGAACAATACTAGTAGGTGTAGACCTGTTTGATTCGCAAATGTTTAACACAAAAACTCTGCAAATTGGGCTGAGTTCTTCTCTCCAATAGAAAACACTCTGTTCCACTCTGTGATCATGTCATGTGGTAATACAGGAAATGCAGAAAATGCTCCACTGTGTGTCCATACACCTTCATGAGAAAAATACGGATGGTTTCAAATCTGGAATTCCCTGAACAAAAGGTAAAAACAAAAGGTAGCTGTTAAGTTTAGACTAGCGCTTCATGACATCACAACATGGAACAGAGCATTTTGAGCTTTGAAGATGCAGACAGACTAAAAATAAAGAGTTACTCAAACATGTGTGAATGAAACAAAACACAACTTTTGAGGAGGTAACAACATTCTAACATGGCTAAAAACTCACAAGAGTAAATTTTTGCTTGGAGTAAGTTTGAAAATCTGTGTAGAAGCACTGTCTATCCCTATCAATGTATCTGCCCCTCTCACTCTGTCCTACTGTTTGTTTTCTGCCGCTGATGCACCGACAGCAGGGAAGGAGCTGAATAGATGCATCAAGAATTTCGGACTTCCGGTCATTGCGCAGTGCATACTGGGAAGGATTTTCCGAAAAAGTGAGCATCAAACCACCATGTTTGTTCTCCCAGTGGGATGTGTCTATTGACAAAGCAAGTGTTTTCTAGTCTTTTGAACCATGTTACTTTTGTTTCTGGTTCTGATATTGTCATATTTTAGTTTTGGGATTCGGATTTGTAATTGTCTGGTTGTTGGCTGTCCTAACACCGGAAAATGTTTGCTGCAAACTCGGGATGATTTAGGCAGTCAAAGGTTTCCTTTTTCGTCCTTCCTGTGTCACAATACTGCCCATCGCCTTCGCCTTTCACTATTTTTCAATTCCGTTGGAAAGGGAAACAGTTTGAACAGGAGTTTGCAGTCACACAGATCTGATTCCCTTTTGCATTTATGGAGTTCACAAACAAATTTCTCAAGCTGTTTTCCGCAGTTAGGACATCCAGCAACCACACAATTATGATGTCCAAATCCCAAAACTAAAATATGACAATATCAGAACCAGAAACAAAAGCAATATGGTTTTAAAGACTAGAAAAGACTGGCTTTGTCAATAGACACATCCCACTGAGAAAACAAACATAGCGGTTTGATGCTCACTTTTTCAGAAAATCCTTCCCAGTATGCATTGCGCAATGACCGGAAGTCCGAGATTCTTGATGCATCTATTGGCGCTATAGGCACCAATGCATTATGAGAATTGTAGTTCAAATTGTTGTACGCATTTTAATCGGCGGGCCACTATTAATACAAATTTGAAAATCATCTCGCAGGCTAGTAGAAATTATCTCGGGCGACGCATTTGGCCTGCCGGACGTAACTTTGAGACCCCTGCTTTAAACCCACTCTGCTTTAAACAGTGTGAGACCCACCTCGAGCACAGACTTGCCCTCTGCGCTGTGGATCCTGGTGTTGTGCGTGCCCTCTGCAGAGATGGTGAAGCGCTCTCGTCTCCACAGCATGGTGGCCGGGGGGTTGGACATGACATCACAGCTGATGTTCACCGGGTTCCCCTCCCACGAGAAGTACATCGTGTGGTTGGTCAGGAACTTTGGGATGTCTGGAATCAAACAGGAATCAACAGGTCAGAAAAGTAGAGACATATAAATAGAAAGTTGGAAGATGTGAGTTCTAGAAAGGTTCCTGAGCCCATGTAGTACCATTCATTCAGAACATATCCTACAAGCTCTTTTGTTCCCATGGTAACTTATTTGATATAACTTATTTGAAGTAAAATTTGTCTTTCCCTAGTGCAGGTATATTCAGGGTATCCCCAGGTCTGACTACCCCAAATTTAAGACTTTTTAAGACCACTTAAATGAAAATTAAGACAAACATTGAACCTGTTATGTGGGCGAAAAACACCAGATCCAATTCTAATAACCATTACTCACTGCTTTAAATAATAAAAAATACTTACATACTCCAAATTAGACGTTCATTCATGTTACATTTCACATTTGTTTTTTGTTTTGTCCCCCTCTCTCCATTGAACATTGCACTGCAGCCCAGTTGAGTACACAGAAAAATAGGCTAATAAGACCTTTGTGAAAAAAATAAGACCTGGACAACATAATTTAAGACTTTTAAAGGCCTTCATTTACGAACATGAAATTTAATACCTTTTTAAGACTTTTAAAGACCCCGCGGCTACCTTGATATTGTAAAGGTGTTTGATCAAAGTGAGACTGCTACGTTCATCTCGTATAGAGCATTTATCCTATGTGAAGCAGGAAGAGTGTTGTTTGCATGCTATTAGTTGGCACGATGGCAAGACTACGCTGATGTCTGAAAGTTGTGAAAAGTGCTTATGAACCTAGAAATTGTGGCGAGTAATTAGAATAAAAGTGGATTAAAATCAGGTACAGCATCTTTAGAAACAGGTAGTATTAGAGTATTTCATTTTCAAAGAATATTTTTTGAGTCATATCCAAAGAGAAGCAACTGCCAGGAATAAATTTTTATTTTGTCCAATCAGGAGCATAGTTTGAGAACCGTGTAGACAGCAGCTACGGCATGATCGCTGTAATAAGTACCCATACAAACTACTTTCTGTGACAGCTGATGTAAAATAAACAGATACATTTTCTTTTACGTTTTCGCCAACATTTTGTAGCGTGAATTTTCAACTAAACCTGAGCAAACATTTCTCTTTTCTCCCCTCAAAGACAAGAGTAACTGGGCGAGCAGGAGCGATGTGTTCTGAGCGTGGCGTTTGTGACAGCCAATTAAACACAGGAATCAAAGGTGGGGTTTGCGTCGCCTGATCAAAGCGCCGAAAATGACTCACTGTGGCTTTAACTCGCAAATTCCTCAAAGGATCGAGAGGAAGCAAGTGTTCCATTAAAACTGTGATACAAGAAAAAGTACCAACTCCCACCAACACAAAGCGGGAAGGGTCTGTAGACTGCAAAAATATTACTTACTTAGTAAAATGACGCTATGTTACTTCTTGTAATTAATTTCTGGCTTGTTTCAGTTCATCACTTTATATTTCAAGTTAAACTGTTTACTTACCAAATTGGGTTATTTAATTTCTATTTTGAAGCGAAATAATCTTTTGCCTCATTTAATCTTGTCAAAACTACTCAAAATCTTCATTAACTTTCTGAATTTAAGTAATTTAACCGACCTTTTTTATTATAGTTTTGTTAAATATCAAAGGAGATGAGGCAAACAGAACACCGCAACAAAAAAAACGTAACAAATACAAATGAGTTAAATTTATTTGAATATAAAAAGTCCTACATTACCTGAAGTTGACTCCTGTGACCTTTAAGTAATTTTAGAATGTTTTCTTCTCCAAAACATACCTGGAGATGGACATGTTTGACTAATCCTGGTTTATTAGTCTGTTTAAATCTCAAAAGCTCAAAACGCTCTTTTGCACCTTGTGATGTCATGTAGTGTCAAGTTAACAGCTACTTTTTGAATTTGTTTAGTAGAGATTGGAAATTTTAAAGACACAGTGGAGCACTTCCTTTTTAAGAGAAGAGTGCAGTCTAAAAATGTAGGATCTGTGAGTTAAACATGTATGAATGAAACAAAACACAACTCCACGTATGTTTTTGATGAGGAAACAGATCAGAAAATAGCATAACACGGGTCCCATTCTTTTACTTATCCAATTATATTTTGGACTAGTTTACACATACTATTTTTAAAAACTGAGACATTTCCCTTCGTTTGTTGACATCTTTTAAAAGCAAACAGCAAATTCGCCTCTGAAAACAAATCTTTCTAAAAACTCCAGCTAGAGTGAAGATTCTGGAAAGCTACAGTTTTTGTTTCCCTGTAAAGTGAGATGAACAGAGTTTTCGGAGCTGACGTGCCGAAAGTGTGACCAGTGTTTCCCTTTTGCTCTGATGATGATCATGAAGCATTCAGAGCAGCAGTCGCATTTGTTCTGGTGCAAACACTTTTCATGTGTTTGCATTTGCGCACAGCTGATGTTTCACACCCATGACCAGAGACGAATGAGCCTCAGAGGTCAGCAATTTTGACACTTCTTTAACATATTTGTGGAGGGGCGAGCCCGCTCAGTAATGCACGTTATTCAAGGTATTTTTGAGTAATACTGACAACTCTAATGAAATAAATGCTGCAGGTTTGAATCTAATCCAGGTGCCGTCCAGAGGCTTCCCGTAGTTATGATGGCGCTCGATGGTGTATTTATGCAGACTGATGTTAACGAAAACTTTTTTGAAAACAATGCTGTGTGCACGATGATATGTTGGAAAATGGAGGGAGGGAACTATTCATTTCTCAACATACCTGGCTCTGTATAAACGTAGTCTTAATATATTGTTAGTTCAACTCAAATTATTTACCAAAGAGTTAGAGAGAAAGTGTACTTTTTTATTTCAAGCCAAACAATCTTTTTTTATAATAAATTTTCTTTGTTCTATAAACAGTTCAACCAAGTCAAACCTACTAACACTGGGAAAAGCGAGAGTGATTTTAGCCCGTGCTAGTTATCCACTTTTTACAGTGCAGAGTTGAATCAAAGCAGAGGACGCAAACAGAAGCTCATTTGGCTTGGGGGAAATAGGACTGGTAGTAATGGACGATTTGGGCACAGGGATTTCTCCGTCCTGGCGCGGTCGCAGAGACATTACGCTTGTTTTATGTCCGCTCGCCGGCTTCCATTAGCAAGATGGATCCCCCGCTCTCCGTCAACCGCGCTAGCTAGCTCACCAAATGAGTTCATTAGTTCACCGGCGACACACACAAGCATATGATCGTTCCACTATAGACAAACAAGTTTACAGTGATGACAGTGAGTGAGTGAATACAGGTGGAAGTACCATTTATTTCTTTATTTTTCCTCTACCTCTGGATGCTATCGGGGCTGTCAACTTGTCAACAACTATGCAAAACAGGTCTGGAGGGATTTCGCCCGTCGACCGAGCCACGGGGAGGAGAAAATTGCTTTCCACGGCGCTAAAAAGATACAACTTATTTCCAGTGGCGCCCTTGCTCTTTGTTGTTGTTGCGACTACTACTGCAGTGTAAATACGATTCAGTAGACGAGGTTTGCAAGCTAATTTTAGAATGAGGCTAACTAAAGCGGAGATGTTTAGAGATCATTTAGTTACACGGAGAGCGCGCCCTTGGATAACTCCAACAAGCTGCGCGAAGACAAGAGATGCAAAGAAGTGTCTGCAATCACTAATTAAGACTTCTACCAGTGTGTTTTGGAAGTATGCTGATGTTCACGAGTGTATGGTGAACATCTGTACCTAAGAACACTATGCAAAAAAACTACTGCTACATGACATCACCAGGTGGAAGATGTAAGTGACATGGAACATCATGTGATTTCTTTTTTTCTTTTTTTTAATTAATCAATTCTAGTTTTATACACATACATATATACACATATATATATACATACATAGATATATACACACATATACATATATTTTCCCCCCGTTTATGGTCGTACAAACTAATAATAGTGTTAACAAAGGGACAAAATTTTATCGTTTATGATCATGCAAAACAAACAACAATGTAAATGAAAAGATATAAGGGTTATTTGTTTTTCGTTTATGGTTGTACAAACTAATAATAATGCTAACGAAGGCAAAAAAGTTTATTGTTTATGATCGTGCGAAATAAACTACAATGAGAATGTTTTCTTTTTTTTTTAAAGTAAGGACATTTTGTTTTCGTTTATAGTCGTACAAACTAATAATAATGTTAATGAAGGCGATAAAGTTTATCGTTTATGATCATACGAAACAAACAACGATGAGAGTGAAAGAATGTAAGGATTATTTGTTTTTCGTTTATGGTCGTACAAACTAATAATAATGTTAACAAAGGCGTAAAAGTTTATCGCTTATGATCGTCAAACATCATGTGATTTCAATGGGGAAACTGGAATTAATATCACATAATATGAAAATACAAAGGAAATTTGGCAAATGTGATGTGATTAGGGCTGTGCAAAAATATCAAAATCAATATATCATTTAATGTGATGATACAGTATCTATATTGTGGGCTGCTGTATCGAGATATCGCCAACAGTATTTTTTGGTTTATTTCACAAAATTATTTTGCTACAGAGCTACAGTTTTGTTGTTTGTTTAGTGGAAGGAAACTTGTTGTTGCGACACATTTGACATTTTCACAGTTTTGATGATTAAAATGTTTCATATGAACTTTGCACAAGAAGTGGTTCAAAAAAGACTTTTAGTATCACAGCCATGATTTAGACTATTTTTTATTGAACTGTATTGAATCAATTTTAAATATATATCGTATTGAATCGAAAGTGCACTGTATCGAGGTATGTATTGTGTCGTATTGACAACTTCTTAATGATACCCAGCCCTGCAGTTTTGTTGTTTGTTTAGTGGAAGGAAACTCATATATGTGACATATTTGACATATTCACTGTTTTGATGATTAAAATGTTTGTGTTTCATATGAACTTTGCAGAAGAAGTGGTTTAACAAAGTTTTTTTAATATCACAGACATGATTTAGCTGTTATTTTTTACTGAACCGTATTGACTCAGTTTGAAATCATATTGTATCGACAGTTTCTTAATGATACCCAGCCCTACATGTGAGTGATATCAGAGCCTGGTTTAAGCACATTTACAACTGTGTTTAACATTATCTGGTAATTTAAGACAAGATTATGATACACACTAAGCAAATCCAGATTTTTTGGACAAATCCCTACAAAAATGCTGAGCCCACTACAGTTTGTCATTTCATACAGATATGTTACACATTTACTGATAAATTATACTTTTTATGAAGCTCAAATACAATTTTGAGGTTAGTAGGTTGTATTTTTCCATCCTTTTAACAGAGAAGCTAATATATGTACCTTGGACATTCAAAATTGCTGTTTTTTTTTTGTTGTTGTAAAGTCTTAAAACCATTAAAATTTAAATCTGTTCTGCAGTTAATCAATGAAAATATATTATGTTTCACTTTGCTTTCAGTCGCCTCAATTACAGAATTTTGAACATTCTGATGACGCAGGATTTTAAAAGCTCTGTAGTACTACTCACACTCGATGTCCAGGAACATGCTCTTCTGATGGCCCCCGATCCTGCTCAGGGCCTCACAGTCAAAGCGGCCCAGGTCGGTCAGCCTCACTCCGCTGATGGTGAGCTCCGATTTACCATGACGACCTCTGACCTCTACACGACTGTCCGGACTCTGCAACACACAAAAGAAACATACAAAATGAACATGGTGTTGTTGTTGTATCATTACCTAATATAACAGGGGTCCTATTAAAGCATGAATAGTTTGATTGTAAAAAGGTACAATCAATAATTTGATGAAGTAGGCATACTGTTAGCCTATTTTAGTTTAGGGACCAGATATGAAGGGCTAAGTAATAGTAAAAGGCACTGTCACTCTCCAGTCAGGCCTGAATTTGCGTCAGAATACAATATGAGCATGCCCAGATGCTTTTACAGTACTTTACCAAAAATAAATGTTATGAAACTTTCTTTGCAAACTCTATTAAACTTAAATGAATGGTGAACCAAAGTTTCAACTGACAAACTCTGACTCAAACTAGGGAATGACATGACATACTATGGGCTTAATTAGATGTTTATTAGTATTTATAAAGCACCTATTACGCTTAATAAATACTAACAGTAACAACAACACTCTAATTAGGCAACTTGTTGTTAGCATTACTAGCAATTAAGGTGTGTAAATGATTACCTTAGGCTAATCTGTGTTTTAGTTGAATAACCCTTCTCTAGCATACCAATTAGCACATGGTTAGTGATCAATATAGTCCCCAAATTGTTACCGTGCTACCAAAAATTTCCATATTAATCCCTAATTTTCCCCTGTACAAAATGTAGATTTTATTTACAGATAAAATAGTGAAATAAAAAAACCCAGAATCATGTAGAGCGGTGTTGTGGAATGTCTAAAGTTCAATTCAATTTAATAAGCAACTGTACACAAAATCACAATCTGTCATTAGCAGTAAAATAACACGTGAACAACAAGTCGGATCCGGTGAAGACACAATTATGGAGATATACTACATGGTGGTGAGACAATATCATTAGGAATCATAAGGTTAACTAACACTACTGGTCAAAAGTTTTAGAACACCCAAATTTTTCCCAGTTATTTATTGCAGTTCAAGTCGTGCAAGTCCAATGAAGAGCTTGAAATGGTACAAAGGTAAGAACTGAACAGCTAGAGGTTAAAAAATAAATAAAAGAACAAAACACAAGTCAAAGCTCTGCCAAAACTACCTCAGAAAAAACGAACAAGATGGTGAGCTTGAAAACATGGAGTGTCCAGCACAGTGTCCAGACTTAAACCCCATCGAGCTGGTTTGGGATGAACTGGACAGAAGAGTGAAAGCCAAGCGACCTACAAGTGCCACACATTTATGGGAACTTCTGCAACAGACTTGGGAAGAACTTTCTGAAGAATATTTGATTTCTATTGTAAAAAGAATGAGCCACAATTCTGTTCAGCTGTTATATCTGCCAAAGGTGGATGCTTTCAGGAATCAAAAGTTTAGAATACGTTTTGGTCAACAGCAGAATTGCAAGTTGTGACGTGAACTCGAGTCAGACTTGAGACTTGACCTGATAAAATGGACTAAGACTTGGGACTCGACTTGGACTTGAAGGTCAATGGAAGGTCAACTTGGGAGTCGACTCGAACAGGAGGCTTGTGACTTGAGAAGATTTGAGAAGAATTGAGAATCACTTTTAAATTTGAATTCTGACTGTAATGATTCACTCTAAGATCTTGTCAAGACATTTAAAAAGGAAAATTTTGCACTTCTACAACTCCTACATACTCTGTAAACACTCATATATAAATACACCATGACTTTATATTTACAATTTATCTTAAAAGTCATATAAATTGCAAAAATCTATGCGGTTTAAAGGCCTGAAATGACTTGAAGCTCAAAGCAGGCGACTTAAGACTTGACTTGGACTTATGGGCCAGCGACTCGAGACTCAACTTGGACTTGCCTGTATTTGACTTGGGACTTGAGTCAGATTTGAGGTCAAAGACTTGAGACTTACTTGAGACTTGCAAAACAATGACTTGGTCCCACCTCTGGTCGACAGTAAACAATAAAAACATGGAAAAAGTGTGGTGTTTTAAAACAAAGATTTCTATAACAGCAGATTAATAAAAACATTTTAAAACCAAAATGTCGAGGCTCACCGCAACAGTTACAGAGAGAGGGGTGACAATTTTTCAATGTAAAGTCAATTGGGAACAGTCAGTGGAGCCGGAAGTGCCTCTGTGAACATTTCCTCTTTGGAACACGACATCTTGCGAGTTAGCTATGTCATAAACAGTCTATGGTAGATAGCAGAAGGCAGCAAATCCATTCTGACATAGGATCCGATGACATCAACTCAACTCTTCAAGTCCACTGTGTGTCAATCATTTCCAAAAGTGAGCTACGATGTCACAAATGACAGCTTTTCAGTTACAGAATGGTACTTTTATGCAAATCCGAAGCATAAAAGAAAAGCTTAAAACCTCCTCGAAAAAGACAATCTACGCAGACAAAGTAGTTGAGTGAAAGTTGATTGAATACTGGCAGCCTGTTGATCCGCGGTGCCCTCTTTGTCTCAGTCCACGTCGTCGGAGTTGGAGAGATAAAGCTGGATTTATTACAAGGTCATTACGACTGTATGAAGATGGATGGCTCCAATCTGAGGTAACGGGTCAATTACTGCGACAGGGCTATCAGTCTGTAATCGACGTGAGCGCTAATGAGAAACAACAGCCAGGAGCACGCGGCGTCTGCTAGCTAACGGTGCAGGAGCTAGCATACCGTTAGCAACTCAAGACACTGACAAGACTAAAAATAGCTCGAGATATCATTTAATTCTTTCATTTTTGCATTAATAATATAATTTGTGGCTAAATGCTATGTGCAAAATTACTATGTATTCTGTATCCAGGACAGAGGTGGGTAGAGTATCCAAAAATTGTACTCAAGTAAGAGTAATGTTACTTCTAAATATATTACTTAAGTTAGGGTGACCAGATTTTCAACTCAAAAACTCGGACAACCCCAATTTGTGGTGGTTAGAAATAATAAAATTGTGAAATAAGTGCATAATTAATAAGGATGTAACAATATCCAAATCTGTCGGTACGATATTATCACGATATGCATCTTAAGGTACGATATTTATTGCGATATTTTAATATAATATATATATAAGCTTTTTAGCTTTTAAAATACATTGACAAGATTTTGGTGTGAATTATTTCCATCATAATCCCAAGAATTCAAGTAAAAAACATATTTCTTCACGTTGTTTGCACTGAAATGAATCATGGGATATGTAGTTCCCTATGTTTATAAGCTGTTGCTACTATAAAACCATGCATTTAAGCAAAGGAACTTAAGCAAAGGATATTTTGGTTATTGTTACATCCCTAGTAATTAATGAAAATTGTTGCACTTGGCCCATTCATGACTAACATGTGAGTCAGTATAGTCACATTTTCATTGTGTTTTGGTCGTTTTTAAGCAGCTATTCTGTATTTTATTGAAACTAAATGAAAGTTTATGCCTCTTTTTACTGTTGGCAAGTACCAGCTTGGTCAAAAATAGTCACATTTCTTGTATAAAACTGAGACAAATCACTGGTTTTGGATAAATCTGCTGGGACAGAGGACACAGGGATCAAAACTGGGACCTGAGTAAACAGGGACATCTGGTCACCCTAACTTAAGTATTTGTACAAAGTAGTGGTTCAGATTACTGAGGTAAGAGTGAACAAGTATTTGGGAAAACTTATTCAAGTCAAAGTAGATGGACGAGTAGCTGTAACTTCTAGCTGTAATTTCAAGATAATGTAATTGGAAGGACAAAATATTAAATAATGTAGAAAATATGGTATTACAAGAAACCCAAATGTTCAAATCAGTTTATATTACAATAAAGCTTGTGACAAATTATTTCACTTTGAAAGCTACTGATGACGTATGCTCAGTTGTGGAGAAAAACATGCTTCAACAAAAACACGCGTTACATTTTACTGCAGAAAAATAAGGTGACATGAGGTAGAGCGTCTGTGAATGGTGATGGTCAAAAAGAGCCAGCGACACATTGGATTATTGGCAGTCTCACTTCAATCAGTCACCGATTTTGGAACGAGCTAAATCAAAAATATGATATAAAGTAGATGGATTTGTGTAGAAATGACCATCTGTGCCAACAAGTCAACAATGCACTCTTTCTCTGAGTGGTTTGAAAACAACTTGTGTAGTCTGTATAACTTATTTGCTGTCAAGATCAGCTGCCCTATGCAAAATCACACAACCAGAATGTTAATGGTGCCGCCAGTGGCAACTTCCTGAATAAAGTCAATAGGCTGAATGAAAAATGACTACAGTACAGTACTTTGAAAGGCCTGCCAAGTTTGGAAGCACAATGCAAGACCTCGACTAAGGCAGTAAAGGCGCTCTACCCGATTTTTACTGTCCACTAGTTCATTTCAAAAGCTTTGCAGTGGTCCAAAGTTATTCCTCACTCACCTTATGCATTCAGAACCTTTGAACAAGCGCCTTTCACAACTTTCAGCGACCAAAGTGGAGTTTAGTCATCGCCACCAAAACAACTAGCATGCTAACCACACACATTCCTTATTATCGAACAATAAACACCTTAGAATTAGATTCAGACAGCACACAGCAGAGTTATTTTGACCGCAATAGATACTTATACAATATATCTGTACTCGGGCAAGATGCAAGAAGGCCTAAACCCCCGAACCATGGATAGTTCGCAGTAACATCAAGCTGTATCATTAGGAAACACTATTAAAAAAAGTGTGAAGAACGGAAGAATTTATTTAAACAGGAAATTTTCAGGAGCCTGTGATCAATACAAGCATTCGTGGTCCTGTTTACATGTTTGATTTTTAACAAAAAGGTGAGAGTAATCATCTCGCCTGTTGCAGTTTCAATTACATGTTAAAACAAAGCTTAGATTTAAATCTAATTTGAGTCAAACTGAGTAATACCTCCAGTTAGCACCACAATCCCAGGGAATGTTGCTGACATTAGCTGCAAAGTATCAACTGAAAATAATCTAGCTCTGGGTTAAATGCCGTATTCGTTGAACAAAAAATCCCTATACATGTTCCTCTAAAATTTTTCTGACTATCAGTCACATTGTTTTT